GGCATCGCAGATTCGCCTCAGGATCTTTGCTTGGGCGACTCTAATTTTTTCCAAGATGAGAACAATTTTCACACTCACCGTTACCCTATTTGTATATTTGTAGACATGAGTATGGCACAAATAAAAAATTAAATCACACTTTATTACCTTTTTATTATTGGCATTAATCGGACTCTACATTTAAAAACAAGCTTAACAAATACTAAAAATATAGCTGTTATACATATGTATGCATACATAAAAGCTTTCAATGCAAATTCGTAGCGCTTTCCAACACCATCAGCAACAGCTGTTGTGTTACGCAAGCGGTTAAAGAGCAACAGGTTCTGATTCTCACTCATTACTATTTAAAAGCGTGATCAGGTCCGGGTAATATTCCAGTGATCATTATATAAATCGTCGCTATCAGTGCCATGTTGCAAGCCACCAGCCGCCATTTGATCGCTCAGGCGCGTCGCTACAGCTCCAAGATCAACGATGTTGTTGTTGTTGCTGCTGCTCGCACGCCCATCGGCAGCTTCCAGAGCCAGCTGGCACCCCTGTCAGCCACACAGCTAGGTGCCACCGCCATCGAGGCCGCCATCGAGCGTGCAGGCATTGCCAAGAGCGATGTTAATGAGGTGATCATGGGCAACGTTGTGTCAGCGGGTGTCGGCCAGGCACCGGCCCGTCAGGCGGCCATCTTTGCCGGATTGCCCACCAATGTGTGCTGCACGACCGTGAACAAGGTCTGCTCCTCGGGCATGAAGGCTGTGATGCTGGGCGCCCAGTCCCTGATGCTTGGCCAAGCCGATGTCGTCGTGGCCGGTGGCATGGAGTCCATGTCGAATGTGCCCTTTTATTTGAAACGTGGCAGCACACCCTATGGAGGCGTTAATCTGACCGATGGTATTGTCTTCGACGGCCTCTGGGATGTCTACAACAAGTTCCATATGGGCAACTGTGCCGAGAACACAGCCAAGAAGATGCAGATCACACGCAAGGACCAGGACGATTTCGCCATCGAATCCTACAAGCGATCGGCCAAGGCCTGGAGCGACAAAGTCTTTGCCAATGAGATTGCTCCCGTAAAGATTCAGGTAAAACGCAAACCCGAACAGGTGATCGCCGAGGATGAGGAGTATAAGCGCGTCAACTTTGATAAGTTCGGCCAGCTATCGACCGTGTTCCAGCGGGAGAACGGAACCGTCACCGCTGGCAACGCTTCGACACTAAACGATGGCGGTGCTGCTGTTGTACTGATGACTGCCGAGGCGGCACAACGTGCAGGTGTAAAGCCGCTGGCGCGCATTGTCTCCTTCCAGGATGCCGAAACTGATCCCATCGACTTTCCAATTGCACCGTCATTTGCTGTGCCCAAGTTGTTAGAGCGTGCTGGCGTTCGTAAAGAGGATGTTGCCATGTGGGAAATCAACGAGGCCTTCTCTCTGGTCGTCGTGGCCAACATGCGCAAAATGGACCTCGACCCTGCCAAGGTCAATGTCCATGGAGGAGCCGTCTCTTTGGGACATCCGATTGGCATGTCCGGCGCTCGCCTGATCACTCACCTGGCACACGCCCTAAAAACCGGCGAGCTGGGCTGCGCCTCCATTTGCAATGGTGGCGGCGGCGCCTCTTCCATTCTGCTGCAGAAGCTTTAAAGCTATGGCAACAGCTATCAATCGGTTAAAGCCAGAATTGCATTTATTGAAATTGAAGATGACGATTGCAGTCATCGTCAACTATATTTAAACGGGTTTAAACTCATCTTTTTGTGTATTTTTTTGTATAGCATTTAACTTTGTGATTTGCATAATAAATCGAAACGAGAATTGCCTTAATCAAATGTTTTTCGCTAACTCGCGTTCGTTATGGACTTCGAACTTTCGAAATAGAAAACAATTGTAATCGTCATTTGCCTGCAGGAGGACAATCGTTTGATGTTTCCTGCAGAATTTTTGAAATTTTATCGATACCTATAAAGTGCTGTAAAAGATACATATATTTTGTTGATTTGTTTTCTCGTTACTTTTGGTCTGCATTTTCTATTGCATAACAGCGATATTTTAGCTATCGTTATCGAACTATTTTGTATTTTACGTGTGATCCTAGAACAGTAGCAACTATTAGACATATAACCGAGATCAGCTCCAATAAGGACACAATCGTTACGAGGACATAGAACACGCCCATAATGGCATAGATGACCCAGGGATCGAGCTGACGCAGCTGTCTGCCCGGTACAGACAGATGCTGTCAATTAGTGCTCGCTGCTTAGCTGCGCGCGGCCCAGTAGATGATAGCCCACCGATTGGACTTGGTCGTAACAAGTTCATCCAGACGCTGACCAGGTGGCCAGCTACTGCTCCAGCACATGATGGGCAGCATGTAATCGGTGTGCGGCGCGTTCCGCCACGTATAGCTACGTCTGTCTGAAAAGGATGCCATAGATGCAGCGCTGTGGACGCAGATAAATCTCGCTCAATAGCTCGAAACTGAAAGACGGCGATTGAATTGGCGGCGTATTCCACGTGCCATGTAGCTAATGGTCAGGTGAGAAAGTCGCTGCTGCAGTTGTCGAAAATCAGTGATTCGAGTTAATCGAAAATTAATTAATTTCAGTTACCCACCAGCTACGGTACGTCCTATTGTGTCCAGGGCAAGGCCTATATGTGCTTGGCGCCTTGCTAGCCTCTGTAGCTGTTGGTCCTCCAGTCCCGGCGCCTTAACGTTCACGCTGATAAAGATCATTCCAGGGCGCAACAGCACTTACCGCGGGCAGCCGTGCATATTGTTCACTCGAGCTCGGAGTTATCACATTGATGGCTCCAGTAATATTAAACACGGCCTGTATCTCCAACGGGATCAGGACTTCGCTCAGGTGTAGAATTCCGAAGAAATTCAATCGGTTCATCAAGCTCGAGCGTAACAACGATGGAATAGGCGCTGAATTTATTGAGAAACTGTGTTTTATTGTTAATATTGTGAAATGGTAATTGAACAAGACGAAAAACACATGATAAATATAGATAGCTATTTATTTAAATTTCGCAAGTAGTTAACGGCTACTTTTAGCATCGATACATTGGAGTGACGCAAAGTACCGATTCAGTATTTTTTCCGCTAAAATAGCAATCACAGAAACAGCTGATTATGCGCAGTGTTGCTTGTTAGCCTATCGATGTCTATCGATTAGTTGTGAACATCCCTAAAATGCGCGAGTTGAGACCAACAAAAAAAAAACGCTGCTTTTGGAGACAGATCGAACGGCGGTGTACAAGCGCGGACCGCAACGCATCCAAAGCCAACAACAACTGAAATAAACAATCATCGTGATAGTGTGCTTGTCCAAAAATAAAAAGCGCGTCGAGTGCAACGGTGTCACTAAAACAAACCGCTAGCTTCAGTGCAAGCAAACAACCCCCGCGTCGGGCAACCATTATAAAATATATATAAAAAAAAGCAGTTGTGTTCTTACCAGCGGTGGTTGTGATGCTGGACGCAGACCAGCAATGCAGCAGCTCTAACAAAATCAAATTTAACCGTTTTCATGGAGTCTTTTGCGCGTAAAATTGATTTGAGAAAACCTACTTAGTGTGCAGCATAAAATTGATAGAGCAAAACGTAAGTGCACTCTGACGGTCATATATAATCTATGCGTGCATGTATTGTATATGTGTAGAAGAACAGTTATGTGTTTAAAGTTCATTTGAATGCGCGTTGCACTATTTGCTGGCCATAGCTGTACATTGTGTGTGAGCGAGCGTAAGAGTTTGTCATGCATATACGGTTTTTGTCTCTCTCTCTCTCTCTTTCTCTCGCTATGTGTGTGCTTGCGTGTGTGTGTGTATGCAGCTGGCCATTCGTATGGCTGCTGCGCTCCGCCTAGCTCTAGCAGTGCGTGCGTTAGCCTATAGCTGTGTATGTCAGTGTGTGCGCCTGTGTGTTTGTAAGTGCACAATAAGCCAAACGACAACAAACCATAATTATTGTAAATTGTTAAATTAAATATTTAGTGAGCAGCAGTCGCTAATAAATCTATTGTTTTGCTCCCTTCAACTGGCCATTTGGCTTCGGTGGTGTCCTTGACATGATTACGTTTTCCGTTACGCTTTTGCACTTTAAGCAAGGGGCCGTTCGTTTCTCATTGCGTATGTGTCTACATGAGTGTGTGTGTGTGTGTGTGTGTATGTATGTCTATCGATTACTGTTTTCTGGTCCTGTTTGACTTTCTCACTCGCACGTGCACATGAGCTGCTTCGCTTTCTCTCTTTCTCTATTGCTCAAAAAAGGGGTGGCAAAATTATGTTCATAGTTTTGTATACTATGTTTTTTATTTCGTCTGTTGTTATGGAACATGTGAATGGTTGGTTTTTTTTTTTTTTTTGTAATATTTTTGTTGCGTGCTCTTATCATTATGTTCTCACACACGTTCCACGGTCCGCTGCTGATAAGCAACCGCAAGAGTAGATGCAGCACTCCCCGTGCGGTTTATATTCACTCTTCTTCTTCTTCTTCTTCTGTTTTACTTGTAAATTGTCAAACGTTCGCTATCTACTGATTTCACGCTCGCTCCACGAGTATTTATAGCCGCCAAAGTTCAAGTGCAGCCTCGATCGCTGTGGGAGCCACAGCTGTGCCCCAGTTGGTGGTGCTCCGTCAGCGTCTATAAATGTCAGGCGGAGATTTTTTTCTCCAATTCTGCCTGACCCTCGACTCGGATTGAAACGACAAACTGCGAGCGCCAGATCATCCCGCCTAACGCAAAGCATTCGCTATGTGCAACTAGCAGTAGAGTGGATCGTATTAGCTACTATGTTTTAGTTAGTGTGTTTTACATTCCTTTTGCTCAAACAGTTAGTTTTCCATTGCTTGATTCCCTCGGCTGCTCCATTTTATGCATTTGAAATCAATATTTGTTTTTCATTAATTTCTAATCTTGCTGTATGCCCGAGCTGTTTAGCATCTCCCTTCACTTTGTTGCCTCTCGAGTCTGCGTTCTCCATACAAAATCTGCGGGCTATTATTGGAGGCGTTGCGTAATTGCCTTAGTGTAGCTACATACAAATATATTTAAGTACATATGTATATGTATGTGCTTTAATTTTCTGGAACTATGTAATTTATTAGGAAACCTATTCAATATACCCTGTAAGCATGGCGTAAATTGTGCATACCTGCCTAGTAAGTCTAGCTATAAAACAGGGTCTATAAGTTTTATTTAGAAAGTTCTCGATCTAACAAAGAAATCACTTTAATCTAATTTTAACTTTTCTATAGTTTCGAGACCATGTCTAACTAATTGAAATCCTCATCTACCGTAGACTGCAGCTCTTCGTTGTTTGTAAATCTTCTACCATCAAGACATTGTAACTAATTTTGCAATAGAAACTAGCCCCAGAGATCTAGAGGGTTGCTAAAGCAACTCGATCTGTAACTCTTTGATTGTGGTAGTCCCATCCTACAATAGTGGAGCTATCTTAATGAAACTACACTTTCCTTTTCCTGAATTGCATAATTGAAATGCAAACACAGATTGTGGCTTAGTGTTTCCTTTTCATCGTTGGCCTCCATAGTTCCACACTTTATGTTCCTTTGTTTCAGGTGTGAATCGATGGAATGGGGCTTCGGAAAATGAATGCCGGAGTAAACATTGCTAGGTGTTTCTTAATTCCATATTCCCCCATCTTTCTCTGTCTGTCTCTCTCTCTCTCTCTCTCTCTCTCTCTCTCTCTCTCTCTCTATCTTTCCCTCTTCTGGTTCTAGCTCGCTTTTGTGGGGCTAGGTGTTTCTTAGTTCCATATTTCCCCATCTTTCTTTCTCTCTCTCTCTCTGTCTCTGTCTCTATCTTTCCCTCTTCTAGTTCTGGCTCGCTTTTGTGGGGCTCTGCCTGGGGTTTGGGTGTATCAATCGAAATGAAATTTACTTCGAACCGTGTACGCAAATAAAAGAGTTTTTTGGTGATGCAACCTGCGATTCCAGCGAAGCTCCAGTTCGCCCTCTGCCCCCAATGCCCTGTTTGCCATGATCTACATCGCCCCTTGTGGCACTTGCTGCTTATCGAGTCATAGCTGGGCTGGGCGACATGTTCCAGCAGGCAAGTCCCTGGGATTGACTCATTTCACATTTGTGCCCGCATTGTTTATGTTTTGTGCTCCGATAAGGGCTTATCAGTGCACAGCACGGAGCGCGGCTTACGTCTGAGGCACACTAACGATATATAAATGTACATACAAGTATGTGTATGGATATATGTGTGTGTGTGTGTACCTGACGTTAGCCGCCGCTGCTACTACCTGCCGGCGAGTTAAATGTCAAAGTCTTTGACTGTGCCAAGTCAGTCAGTTGATGTTTGCCCTCGTAGCCAGTTCGATAAATTCTATATTTGTATATATACATATATAATTACTAAATAATATACTTGTGCATATATATACATATATTTATGTATGTATATATATGCGCTATACAGTCAGTGGTGTACATGTGTAACGTTAGAGACGCGTGTATATATGTGTGTGAATTATATGTATATGTATAGATATATCTATGTATATTTTGTATCAAATACTCAAGACATCAAATCAATCAAAAGTTGGCCCAGAAGACGCGCGCACCCACACACACACACACACACACACACGCTCTCTCTCTGTGTATCTGTGAGTGTCTAAGGTGAACGCGGAAGTGCTTCAAGCTGCTTGCATTTCACGCTGCACTGGGTATGTATAAGCCGCAAATTCCCGTCCGCAAGCCACGTCTCTCTCTCGCTCTCTCGCTCTCTCTCTCTCTGGGCAGACGATCGACCTGGCCAACAGTTAACGCCCAGCCACTAATTAGCAGTGAGCACGCCAATTGATGGACTGAATTGCCAACGAGCTGGCTGACGTCTAAGCCTGGCCAGAACCTAAGTCCAATAGCCCATCAGCCCAATAGATGGGCAGCTTCTCAGTATGCGCGTCGCATGCGTTGCGGCATAACATTCGAATAACATGACAGGCGTTACAAATGGACAGCAGCGACACACGGACGGACGCATGGACACCCTATATATAGATTGATACGCCCACCAGCCCATGTTAGCCAAAAGTCAGCCAAAACTAGCTGTCGTTGATCAGCATAACTCTCTCTCTCTCTCTCTATCTCTCTCTCTCTCTCTCGCTCGCCTTGTTTCACATTTTGGGCATATCTCGAAAGCCCAGAACCACGTTGTACTCCCTGCTGTTGCTAGACGACGTTGACTAATGACCTGACTTGCCAACTGTCGACCAAAAAACAAATTACAATTTTATTCAAATCTCTAGTCGAGTTGAAATTGATGAGCTGTAGCGATCAAATACCCTGCCAAAAGCTTGCCTAGGCTTTCAGTTATTAGATATATGAGAATAGAGGAAAGACATATAATATAATCATGCAATTCTATAGATAGAAAGGTATATAACTCCACACATTGAAGTTAGATAATATGCTTCAATTGAGTCTCTGCCCATTTACAGGGTATCTATCTGCCTGAGACATGAGCAAATGTTGAAAACATTTAAATCAATTCAAATTAACTTTAACATAATAATATATATCTTACTCTCCCTCTCTCTCTCTCCCTCTCTCTCTCTCTCTTTACAGCGCACCGTCTCGATTTAGATATATATCTCTCAGATATATTGCCAGCTCCATATACATGAATGTATAAAAACAAACATCCATAACACCCAACTATATATATATACACATATATATAACTATATATTTTGTACGATTCGACAATACCAAAGTTTAACATAAATAGAACAAGAGGAAGAATAACAACAACAACAACAAGGAGAAGATCAAGAAAAAGCTAAAGACGTCTAGCTTACCAATATTATTAAATAAATTTTTTTTTTTTTTTTTTGTGGCAATATTCGGCATTTCGTTGTGGCAATTGGTTGAAAAGCAGAAGGAGCAGAAGAAAAAGAAGAAAATAAGTGGAAAACTTTGCTTTTTTTCATATATTTTGTGTTTCGTTTTTGGCAACGTTTTGTTCTCCATTTTTTTTTTTTTCTTTCGGCTCAAAACGCGAACTGTGCAAAAATATTGCAGTTAATCGAATCGGCTCGCATTACATCGAAACGCGATCAAAGCCGAGCCAATAGTCTAAGCAGCAACAACAACAACAACAACAACAGCAACAGCAACAGCAATTATCATTCACAATGTTCAGTCCGGAGTTTGAGAAACGCATCCTGAAGCACTGCAGTCCCGTGGCTAGAAATCTATTCGACAATCTGGAATCGTCCACAACGCCAACATCGTTGGATCGTTTCATACCCTGCAGGTGAGTGAACTTTTGCGTTAAGCCGTTAGTTTTTCTGCTACGTCACCTTCTCCTCCGCTGGCGAACAGCAGCAGCAACAACAGCAACAACAACCAGAAAAACAATAACCATAAACAACAACATCGTGTGCTGTTTCCCGCATTTTCCGCCTGGCTGCAACTCGTTGAGCTAACGGCACTGCAAGCGAGCGAGCGAGCGAGCGAGCACTCAAAGACTCGTCTACCTTCCTCCCTCACAGCCCCATCAACGTAGCCCCCACCTGTTGCTAATGAGCCGCTTGCCGCACACAGAGAGTCGTCACACACACACACACACACACACACACACACACACATAGATGGCTATCATCAGTATCTGTGTGTTGTTAAACACTTCCGCATCTTACAGTTCGTCTCTTTTCCTCAGCTCACCTACATTTTGCTTAGTTTTGTAAGGTTTAACTTCTTTGCCACATCTCGGAGATTTCAACATACTTTGGGCAGTATTTTAATACATCTAGCTATTAGATTTACCGCATGATGGGCCCTTCATGTAACTTCATTAACTTCCTTTTACATAGATTTACTTTTCCATTGCATTTTATTTTTGATTATATTGTATTATATATATTATTATCTATTGTATATTATCAATATCTTATAAAAGTTGCTTTTCCAAAAATCTACAAATGTTATCTATTACCAGCCGAAATTAGCTTTCACATTTAAGCTCTTTACCATAGTAACATGATTTTAATGGTTCCGAACTAGAAGAGTGTTTACAGCTAATACATAAATTTGAACATAAAATTTAAGAAACTTGTCATTCTATTGCAATTTCTATCAGTCTCCATTTGGTTTTCAGCCTAAAGCTAATTTCGAGTATTGGATTGGAAAAGGCATTATTTCATAGTACTTCAATATAATCTTCACATTTGTGTCTTTTGTTTTCCTCTCAACCATTTTCTCGTTTTTCTCTCTCTCTCTTTCTCTCTCTCTCTCTCTCTCTCTCTCTCTCTCAATCCCGCTCACGCTCACTCTCTTTACTCTCTCTCTCTCTTTCTTACTACTCTCTCTCTCTCTTTCTCATTACTCTTTCTCTCTCTTTCTCACTACTCTCTCTCTCTCTTTCTCACTATTCTCTCTCTCTCTTTCTCACTATTCTCTCTCTCTCTTTCTTTTTCTCACTTTCTGTCTCTCTCTCTATCTCTCTCTCTATCTCTCTCTCTCTCTCTATCTCTCTCTCTATCTCTCTCTCTCTGTCTCTCTCTCTCTCTCTCTCTCTTTCTCTCTGTCTCTCGCTCACCTTCTGCTATCACCTGCTCCTGCCTTTGATTGAATTGTTCGTATCCCTTGCAATTGTCCGTCTTGCAGCTGCCTTTGCCCCAGCTACCGCCCACGCCCCCGCCCCCGCCCCCACCGTCTTCGGCCTTGCAGTCAGTCACCTTGCAAAATTTGCTTATGAAATTAATTTATTGTAGGTGGAAGTAAATGCTTCAAATGCGTTTGCCAGATAAGCACCCAAAGGGGGCGAGCGGGGGCGCGGAGGGGCTTAGGTGTAAAGCGGCAAAAGACGCAAGTTGCATTCATAAACAGTTTGTTGTGCGAGCCTCTCTGTATGTATGTGTGTGTGTGCAATGCAACTCAATAGCCCTCTTCCTGTGTGTAGACCCCTCTAATAAATAAATTTATTTTTTTTTTAATATTTTTTGCTGTTTGTTCGCTGGTATTGTATTTTTTTTTTTTTTTTTTTTTTTGGGGGGGGGGGTTAAAACTCTCTCACCCTTGGCCGCCGCGAATTTCATGGCGAATTCGCCAGGTTAGCAAATCGCAAAATCAGAAATCGCAAATCGCAAATCGCGAATCGCGAATCGTTGCGAATTTGTCAATTTGTGCAAATTTAGCGAATTTGACATTCAAATTATGAATTTCTGTTGCTGCCTTTTTGCACGTTGCACACGTTTTTTATGTTTTATGAGCAAAAATAATAACAATTGGCCATCCTCCCTCCCCCCTCCCCTCGCGCCAGCCTGCTTCCCACACAACATTGTTTGCATTACGTGTGGAGTCAGGTACATAATGAAGGAGTCGAACGGAAAGGCGTGACTGGGGTGGGTGGAGGGTGGGCGGAGGTGACCATACCATGCACAGACACGAAGGGTGTTAAGAGTCATTGGGGTCCCCTGCGCGCCAGAAACGGCGAACAATTGAATTTGAACGCGTTTGCATAAATTTACTTTTGCAATTGTTGTTGTTGTTGTTGTTGTTGTTGTTGTTGTTGTTGTTGATTGTATAAATAATTTATATTTTGGCAAAACTTTTTGCCATGCTTTGTGCCTTGAGATTGACTAAGAGATACAAATGGAAGACTGCGATAGCCACGACTAGAAGTTGCCCTAGGTCAATGGCCAAATTGTGGGTTGCAAGCGGGAGAATCTTGGCGAATAATTAACGGGACTATGGCTTGGATAATAGATATACGTACATATGTATAAAGCTAAGGCAACGAATGTTTTTGGAACTTAATCAGGTCGAACCAGTGGAGCACTTCAGCTTGATATACTTATATATATATATATATAATAATGTAACGATAGTGTCACAACTAAGACTAGGCTCTAGTCGGAAGTGTCCGACTGGTAAATACCCTGCTTAAGCTGAACCTAGGACAGAGCTGCTACTTGCCTCACTCTAAGCTTGAATTACATAACAAATATCACGTGCTGAAACCCACACACACACACACACACACACACACACACACACACATACACTTTGTTTACTACGCACCTTAGGCAGCTGTTGTGCTTGGTGTACATGGACTTTACAATGGGGTATACTGAAGTGCTAGCTGGACTTTCTTAATGAAATGCTCAGTGTGGAATAATAACATCCAGGTGTTTATAGGCGCCAAAGTACACAAAGTAGTCGGCTATAGTAAACACGTTCCTTGGTGTTGAATGGAATGAGGAACAAATGCGAGATATTCTAAATATTCGATTTGTGCATTGAAGTGATTTCAGAGTTTTCGCTCCATTGTCTATATAAAAAGTGTACTTTCGCTTTATATGCCCGTGCATCATTGATATTCCCATTACAGGGTATATATGTACTTCCGTTTCATATGTCCGTGCATCATTAGTATTCCCATTACAGGGTATATGCAGTGAAATAGTTGGGAATCTCAGTCTGCTGCTTTCATTTACATGAATTGCAATTATTATCATATAGATATCATATGAGTATTGTAATATTTTGGTTTATTTATGCCGCACTCTAATCGTTCTTCTTCCTCTCGCTTTTATTATTTTTTTTGCAGAGCTCACAACAATTGGCAAACGAGCTTTGCGTCCATTAACAAGTCGAATGATAACTCGCCGCAGACAAGCAAGAAGCAGAGAGATTGTGGAGAAACGGCACGCGATAGTCTGGCCTATTCGTGCCTACTGAAGAACGAGCTCCTTGGCTCGGCCATAGACGATGTGAAGACCGCCGGGGAGGAGCGCAACGAGAACTCCTATACGCCGGCGGCCAAGCGCAGCCTCTTCAAATATCAATCACCCACCAAGCAGGTAAGCTCCTTCCCTCAACACAGCCACTCCCCCCACCCTCTCAAAGGCCTGCCCCTGGACACGACCTGTCTCTGACTTTGGCAATTGTGAGATACTTTTGCAAATATTGCATTAATTGAGTTAGCTCTGCTGGCCTTATCACATATATATATATACATACATATATGTATATCTGATATTTTTGTTGTATTCTTTCGTATTTTTTAATATTTAATTGAGACTTCTTTTGTAAGGTGGCGATGCGTCTGAGTGGACTACGAGTTGAATGCACTGCGGAGCAGGTCATGGACTCAATATGTCTAGAGTCTAGAGTCTGCTTGAGACTCTGGGAAAATGTGTAGTAGTGCTCAGAAAGATTTTGCAGATATATGTATATATGTATATAGATATATATAATATACTAATATGAGAGAGGGAGAGAGAGAAAGATTATGGATTTGCTTAGGAAAATTATTTGATCAATCTCAATAGATAGCTGATGCTTAAGGATTTGTTTCGATGTCTCTTTGTTTATTTAAAAAGATATTGAGAACACTGAAATCAACTTCAAGACAAGCTTTTCAAGTACGTTTTATAATCCAGGTTAAGCTAAATTTTTTTAGTAATACCACCAATCTAGTGGGAGATTCAACATGACAGCCAGCCAAAAATTTATTCCATTTGCGCGAATATATAAGAATTAAGAGTTTACATAAAAAGTAATATAATGAATAACAAGTAAGAAGACTCTAGTCGAGACTGCTCGACTAGGAGATACCCTGAAC